CTAGTTGACTTAGTTTGAGGTTGGGAGGTGAGCTGTAGTAACTAGGTGACTTAGTTTAAGGTTGGTAGGCTGTAGTAACTAGGTGACTTAGTTTAAGATTGGGAGGCTGTATTATCTAGGTAATTTAGTATATTGTGTGGAGGATGTAGTAACTAGGTTACTTAGTTTGAGGTTGGGAGGCTGTAGTAATTAGGTGACTTAGTTTATGGTTGGGAGGCTGTAGTAAGTAGGTGACTTAGTTAAATGTTGGGAGGCTGTATTTACTAGGTGACTTAGTTTGAGGTTGGTAGGATGTAGTAACTAGGTGACTTAGTTTGAGAATGGTAGGCTGTAGAAACTAGGTGACTTAGTTTGAAGTTGGTAAGCTGTAGTAACTAGGTAACTTAGTTTAAGATTGGTCGGCTGTAGTAACTAGGTGACTTAGTTTATGGTTGGGAGGCTGTAGTAAGTAGATGACTTGGTTTAAGGTTGGTAGGCTGTAGGAACTTAGTTTAAGATTGGTAGGTTGTAGTAAGTAGGTGACTTAATTTAAGATTGGGAGGCAGTTTTAAGTAGGTGACTTAGTTTGAGGTTGGGAGGCTGTAGTAACTAGGTGACTTAGTTTATGGTTAGGAGGCTGTAGTAAGTAGGTGACTTGGTTTAAGGTTGGTAGGCTGTAGTAACTAGGTGACTTAACTTGAGGTTGGTAGGCTGTAGTAACTAGGTGACTTAGTTTAAGATTGGTAGGTTGTAGTAACTAGGTGACTTAGTTTGAGATTGGGAGGCTGTAGTAACTAGGTGACTTAGTTTGAAGTTGGGATGCTGTAGTAACTAGGTGACTTAGTTTGAGGTTGGGAGGCTGTAGTAACTAGTTGACTTAGTTTATTGTTGGGAGGCTGTAGTAACTAGGTGACTTAGTTTAATATTGGTAGGCTGTAGTAACTAGGTGACTTAGTTTAAGATTTGGAGGCTGTAGTAAGTAGGTGACTTAGTTTGAAGTTGGTAGGCTGTATTAACTAGGTGACTTAGTTTGAAGTTGGGATGCTGTATTAACTAGGTGACTTACTTTGAGGTTGGGAGTCTGTATTAACTAGGTGACTTAGTTTGAGGTTGGTAGGATGTAGTAACTAGGTGACTTAGTTTAAGATTGGTAGGCTGTAGTAAGTAGGTGACTTGGTTTAAGTAGTAACTAGGTGACTTAGTTTGCAGTTGGGAGGCTTTAGTAACTAGGTGACTTAGTTTGCAGTTGGGAGGCTTTAGTAACTAGGGGACTTAGTTTAAGATTGGAAGGCTGTAGAAACTAGTTGACTAAGTTTATTGTTGGGAGGCTGTAGTAAGTAGGTGACTTTGTTTAAGGTTGGTAGGCTGTGAGCTGTAGTAACTAGGTGACTTACTTTGAGGTTGGGAGTCTGTATTAACTAGGTGACTTACTTTGAGGTTGGGAGTCTGTATTAACTAGGCGACTTAGTTTGAGGTTGGGAGGCTGTATTATCTAGGTGACTTAGTTTATGGTTGGGAGGCTGTAGTAAGTAGGTGACTTTGTTTAAGGTTGGTAGGCTGTGAGCTGTAGTAACTAGGTGACTTAGTTTGCAGTTGGGAGGCTTTAGTAACTAGGTGACTTAGTTTGAGAATGGTAGGCTGTAGTGACTAGGTGACTTAGTTTGAAGTTGGGAGGCTTTAGTAACTAGGTGACTTAGTTTGCAGTTGGGAGGCTTTAGTAACTAGGGGACTTAGTTTAAGATTGGAAGGCTGTAGAAACTAGTTGACTAAGTTTATTGTTGGGAGGCTGTATTTACTAGGTGACTTAGTTTGAAGTTGGTAGGCTGTATTAGGGAGGCGAGCTGTAGTAACTAGGTGACTTAGTTTAAGATTGGTAGGCTGTAGTAAGTAGGTGACTTTGTTTAAGGTTGGAAGGCTGTAGTAACTAGGTGACTTAGCTTGAAGTTGGGAGGCTGTAGTATCTAGGTGACTTAGTTTGAAGTTGGGAGGCTTTAGTAACTAGGTGACTTAGTTTAAGATTGGTAGGCTGTAGTAAGTAGGTGACTTGGTTTAAGTAGTAACTAGGTGACTTAGTTTAAGATTGGGAGGCTGTAGTAACTAGGTGACTTAGTTTGAAGTTGGGAGGCTTTAGTAACTAGGTGACTTAGTTTAAGATTGGAAGGCTGTAGTAACTAGTTGACTAAGTTTATTGTTGGGAGGCTGTAGTAACAAGGTGACTTAGTTTGAGGTTGGTAGGCTGTATTATCTAGGTGACTTAGTTTATGGTTGGGAGGCTGTAGTAACTAGGTGACTTAGTTTGAGATTGGTAGGCTGTAGTAACTATGTGACTTAGTTTGAAGTTGGTAGGCTGTAGTAACTAGGTGACTTAGTTTGAAGTTGGTAGGCTGTAGTAACCAGGTGACTTAGTTTATGATTGGTAGGCTGTAGGAACTAGGTGACTTAGTTTAAAATTGGGAGGCTGTATTATCTAGATGACATAGTTTGAAGCTTTGAGGATGTTTGAACTAGTTGACTAAGTTTGAAGCCAGGAGGCTGCAGTAACTAGATAGTCATGGTTTGGGAATATATTAAAACAAGAGGCCCATTTGGCCTGCAATGCTAACCTGGTATTAATTTCACATTTTAACCTTAAAAGTGGACTCAAATATAGCTAATGGCAAAATATTGGTATCTATGATTCTAAGTCATTCAAAAGAACCTGTTGAAAGATTTAAACACATTTGACCCATGTGACCTTGAAAATCGGAAAGTTTATAGCCCATCATCATAACAAGCAACTTGTAAAATATCACTATCCGAGACCTTTTGTTCATTTAGATGAGGTCATTTAAAAGTGTACACACTTTTGACCATATGTGACCTTTAAAGTAGGTAAAGGTCATTCATATGAACGAACTTGATAGCTTTATCTGAGCAGGCTACTAGCCCAACTGTGCTTCAATTATGTCCAAAACAAAAGTAAAGCTTACTGTATACATGAACAATAACTGTTGGACAGCAGCATAGCTCGCCTATTTATATGTTATTATAAGATAGCCAACATCATTTGAAACACATGTACAGTAAAACCCCAATACAAGAGGCCCAATGGGCCTGAATCGCTCACCTGGTATTAATCTTACACTTGTTATCTTAAAAGACGACTTAAATAAAGCTACAGGCAAAATACCAGTGTTTGATTCAAAATAATCTATTAAAAGATTTAAACATGTGACACATGTGACATTGAAGGACATTAAGTTGAACATACTGTATACCCTTTCATACCAGCATGCTTCTGGCCAAATATCATTACCCTGGACATTTACATTATTCAGAAGTTGTTAAAAGATTTAAAAATAGTTTACCCTTGTGACCTTGTAAATGGGCGAAGGTGATTCATTTCAACAAATTTGGTAGCCCTTCATTCCAGCATGCTACAGGCCCAATATCAGTACCCTGGGCCTTTTGATTATTGAGAAGAAGTTGTTTGAAGATTTTAACACATTTGACCCATGTGACCTTGAAAGTGGGACAAGGTCATTCATTTGAACAAACTTGGTAGCCCTTCTTCCCTACATCCTTCTGACCAAATATCATCACCCTTGACCCTATGGTTATACAGAAGTAGTCGTTTAAAGGTTTTTAAGACAAGCGACCCCTGTGACCTTGAATATGGGCGAAGGTCATTCAGTTGAACAAACTTGGAAGCCCTTTATCCAAGCATGCCACTGGCCAAATATCATCACCCTTGAGCTTTTGCTAATTCAGAAGAAGTTGTTTAAAGGTTTTCAACTTATNCCCCCCCCCCCCCCCCCCCCCCCCGTGACCTTGACTATGGGCGAAGGTCATTCATTTGAACAGACTTGGTAGTGCTTTATTCCAGCATGCTACTGGCCAAATATCATCAACCTGGGCCTCTTGGTTATTCAGGAGAAGTTGTTTAAAGTAAAATGTTGACGCCAGACGAGGGACGCCGGACACCAGGTGAGCTAAAAACTTGCCCAAAAGATTCAACCTGAAATGGGACACGTGCACTGATGCTAAAGCTGATGCTGACACCCGAGGGACTACATAAGCCCCTCTATTCTTCAAACAGGTGAGATAACAAGAGGCCCAAGGGCCTTAGCGGTCACCTGAGTTGTATCATAGGTACTGGTAGCTTTATTTTATTGTTTAGATGTGATGTGGAAATCAGCATGTAAACTAAGTGAAATACAATACTTGTCATGTCATCAAAGGATAAGAATTTTAAAATATTTGTAAATGTTCCCTTTGGGGCCCCGCTCTAACCCCTGGGGATGGGGCAGGAATTCCAAGTTTACAATTTAATACCGTCATCCACCAAAGATGATCCTGACCAAGTAAAAATAATTTCCAACAGAAAATTGTCAAAATATACCCAAAAGTGTTGTTTCCCTATATAAACTATAGTAAACTTTACCCCCTCCCCAAGGGAGAACGGATAGCTCGGGGGTCCTGAAATTTACAATTTAAATAAAGCCCCTGATGATCTTTCCATCCATGCAGAGAAAATGACTGTAATACCTCTGAGTCTGGAGAAGAAGATTTTTGAAGTATTGGTGAATTTTCCCTTTTGGGCCCCGCCCTGGCCCCCAGGGTTGGGGTAGGAATCCCAATATTACAATTTAAAACCATCTTCCTCCTCCAAGGATGATTCTGACCAAGTAAAAATAATTTCCAACAGAAAATTGTCAAAATATACCCAAAAATGTTGTTTCCCTATATAAACTATAGTAAACTTTACCCCCTCCCCAAGGGAGAACGGATAGCTCGGGGATGATTCTGACCAAGTTTGAAAAAATTCCATCCACTGGTTCTTGAGAGGAAGTTGATAATGTAACAGTTTACGCACGACGGACGACGGACGACGGACGGAAAGGGATTGGAATAGGTCACTTGAGCAAAGCTCAGGTGACCTAAAAACCATAGTGCAGTGAGACAGGAATCCTTGAACTTCACAGGCTATAACTACAGGAGGTAAACAGGACCAGATCAAACATTCTTAGGACTTCACCTACATTTCTTGTTAACATGTCCATCATCATCTATGACCTCTTCCTCAATCCAATCTCGTGGCGAGTACCAACGCACGAAGTCAATCAACGTGCAACCTGGATTGGCAGCCTAAAAATACAAGATGCGATTGCAAAGTTCAACATAGTGTTTTGTGTAAAGAAATGAAATATTATCTTCAGTTTCCTCATTGGAAAGTTCTCTTTAAACAAAATAGAAAGGGTTTGAACAAAATGCATGTGCACTGACCTCAATTTTTCTACAACACAATACTATTTAATACTGCATGTAAATACATCAGGCTTGAAAATTGAACAAGAGGCCCAATGGGCCTGCATTGCTCACCTGCTATAAATGTCACACTTGTAACCTTAAAAGTGATCTAAATAAAGCTACAGGCGAAATATCAGTATTTATGATTAAAACTCATTCAAAAGAAACTGTTAAAAGATTTTAAAACATTTCACCCCTGTGACCTTGAAAGTCGAACAAGCTAGGTCATTATGTTGAACAAATTGTATAGCCCTTCATCTCAGGATGTAACTTGCAAAATAGCACCACCCTACCCATTTGTTTATTGAAATTTGAGGTTTTTAATTGTAAAACCTATTTTTATGATAAAACTACCACGTCGTATTATTATGCAAATGATCTCCAACTACCAGTTCTTTAACTACCAAAGTAAAGTTTCAAATGCTCCGCGCAAATACGAAACTACTCCCTGTCCAAACCAGACATACGTGTGTAGGATGCGCGCGCAACTCCAACTTTCTCTATTCAAAAAACGAACAAAACACCTAAAAGCAAAAGGCCTAAAGGAGCCGGAGGAGCCAGGTAGGAGGGTGGGACTTACATTGGACGTGGTAAGTAGTTTTATCATAAAAATGGGTTTTACAATAAAAAAAACCTCAATTTTATATAAAAAAAACCAAGAGGCCCGATGGGCCTGATTCGCTCATCTGGTATTAATCTTACACTTGTAATTTTAAAAGTGGACTAAAATACAGCTACAGGCAAAATACCAGTGTTTGATTCAAAAGAATCTATTAAAAGATATAAACATGTGACACATGTGACACATGTGACACATGTGACCTTGAAAGTCAAACAAGGACATTAAGTTGAACAGACTTTATAGCCTTTCATACCAGGTTTTGAACATATTCGACCCCTGTGACCTTGAGGACAAACTCGGGTAGTCCTTAATTTCAGCATGCTACTGGCAAAATACAAGAGGCCCAGAGGGCCTGTATCGCTCACCTGGATACCTCAGCAATCATGGCAAACTATTCTCCAAATTAGATCAAGGGAATATGCCAGACCCCAAGGCCAATCCTTGAATATTAGATTTTTCATGCCCAGCAATTTTATGTATGGTTATGGGGTGGGGATCTCAACTGTTTCCAAGCTTTGACTCAGAAACTAGGTCCCTAGATTTGTGGCCAGACCCAAGGATCGATTCTAATATCGTGACTGCATTTGTCTCTTTTTGCCAAGCATTTGTATATATAGTTTTGGGGTGGGGATCTCAACCGTTTCAAAGTTATGACCCAGGGGCCAAGTCTGCAAGGGTGGGGCAGACCCTGGGATCAATTCTAATGTCATGACTGCATTCGTCTCTTTATGCCCAACAATTGTATATATAGTTTTGGGGTGGGGATATTAACCATTTCAAAGTTATGACCCAGGGGTTAAGTCTCCAAGGGTGGGGCAGTCCCCAAGGCCAACCTGGAAGCATATGTGCAATCATCTCTTTATACTCAGCAA